AGACAGGATAACCACATTTGGGCCATTGTATCTGAGCATCTATTATGATAAAGTTCTTTAGGTTGAGTAGTGCATGTGGAATAGCTACAGAAAGCCCTTGCAGGAGGGAAAAGAACCCTCATTTCACAAGGAAGAAGGGGATAAAGTAATGTTTTCTCAAGCAGAATGTGTGAAAACAAATCTTTTGTGGGAGTTGTGCACGGGAGGAGGTGGGGAAGGGAGGGTGGCTGCAGACAGAGGCAAGATGTTCTGCAGTCAGTGCCAAGTTGCTCGCACATCCCATGGAAGTGGAAGGGGCTTCCAAGTCAGCCTGGGCAACTTCTGCAACCTCTTTTGCCAGCCTGTCTGTTTAACGCAAGATTGTTTTACATGGGGATTCTTACTAGCTCCTTTCATACAGCTTACATACCTATTAGATTAGGTTCAAGTTTCTCTTGCATCCATACTGTATCCAGATGGCATGGATAAACTGTCCAAGCCTACATCCTGTTCTGCACGTTAATTAAGATCCGTAGTTGCTTTGCTTAGCATGCTGGTTGCCTGGCTCCTAGTTTCCACCAGTTGCCCAGCATCACAATCTAGCAACAAAGGGAGAACAGATCTATTAACAGGTAACTTTCCCTAATCGAGGGTGAAGTGTCCTAGCCACAAAGGAAGGACACTAGTGTGCAGGCTCTCTCTCCAGAGCCAGATTATTCAGTAGAGCTTTAGCCCCTAGATTTCTTTTTTTTTTTAGCTTTGAAATCCTACACTTATTCAAGAAGCTCAAAGTATTAGGAAAATGCTTCATGTTTCAGCAAATGTACAAGAGGTTCAGGGAACTGGCTACCACATTAAACAGTTACCCTGTGGCCTGCACTGTAAATGAAGAGGAATAACAGCAGTTATTGAAACTTGTTCTACTTTGTCACAGAGCTACTGGAGCTGCCTGAGCTTCATTGCTTGCTTTTTGGAAACCCGAGAAGAGAATATGACCCAGAAACAATCATACCTCTGTAGTCCAATTGTTCCCCCATGCTTGGGGGAAAAAAAAAAAAGTGAAAGGAAAAAGTGGTCAGAGTAGCAATATTGTACCATGTGGCTACATTTTCAAGTTGCTCAAAGCCTATATGGTGTTACATTGCTTTCAGACACAATAAAATGCCAGTTATTAATCCTGCAATTATCCAGTCTTATCATTGCTGTCCACACAGGCTGGACTTCTAGATGATATTGTTTTCATTAGTGTGACCAAAGGAAAATTTAGAGACCCATCTCTCAAATGGACAAGTGAGAAATATTAAGAAATTAATCCTAATACTTAATTACATTAATATATTTTGTCATTCTGGATGGGGCTTTTTGATATTCTGGGCAACTCTTCTATCAATTCATTTTTGTGGCTGCAAAACATGATTACTGGGGAGATGGGGGAAATGCTGCTCATGACATCAAAAAGCATAGCCTTCCTGTCAGCTCTGAACATGGAACAGGAATATCTAATCAAAAGGGTTTGCTCTGGATAATATCAATTCCTGACCACAAACTTTAAATCCACGTTATAGGAGCACAGCAGAATGATCTACAGGTAACAGAAATGGAAAAAAGGAATTGATAGGGAGATCAGACTGTGACTAAAAGGAAGCAGGGAGGCTGAAAGGCAGCATTTTAGCAAGAAAGACTTTTGCATGGCTTTCAGGTACAATTGGGCAGTTTTGTATAAAATAATTTCATCCTGGAGACCATTTAAATTTCATTGATAAGAATGCACTTCATTGCCTCATTTAAAAATTTCCATTGTGGCTTTTTCCCCCTGATTTGTATAAAAATAAGAACCATCTGTAGGGGGGGAAAAAACACAACTTGTTTGTGTGACTGCTTTGCTGTTGTTGTTTAGATTTCTAGGAAACAGATGTGTGTTTTTCATTTGGGGAAAGCATACATCTGTTCTGCTAAATTCTCTCCAGAAATCCTTAATTTTCCAGTAAGAGCTTATTCAATTACATTTGAAAATAAGAAACTTTCCCTCCATCATCTATACGCAGGTCTGAATTACAAGGAAAAATGGTCAGTTTGACATAGTGAGAATTTTTCTTCAGCAAATCTGTAAGAGTTTGCAAAATGTTATATAATAATTTACATAACAGAAGAAAAGGGAAAGTAGTAACAAATATACTTCTGTAATCTATGAAGGGATATCTGCACAGTTGGAACTGTTACTATTATAGTCTCATATTGAAGACTGGACTACAGTTTAACGGGGATGAAACCAATAACATTGTATAGAAATTCCTGTATAAGTTTTACTATAGATAGAATTCCCACCTACAAATTTCTTTAAAAAAAATAAATAAATAAATAAATAAAAAGGCATTCTGCAACAGGGATATTATTGACTTTTATATGGGGATGGCTTAAATATTTTACATTGAAGTTATCATTCTCTTGCTAAATTTACGGGTCTTCTCCAGGAGTTGAAAAGGGGAGTTCATCTCATGTGTTCAGAACATTAATCAGCTTTGGGATCCTACTTCAAAAAATTACCTGGTATATTTCTTCCATTTCTTACTATTTTGAAAAGAAACGAGCTACAACACAGATTGTAATATCATGCAAGTCATTCATATATGCCCATTTCAGGGTTCAAATTGCAGTATCTTCCATTAAGAAATCTTTCTTTGGCTAGGGGATTTTTATCTTTAGCTTAGAAATAAAAAATGAAGAAATTGCATAGTCAGTAGTCAAATCTCAGTGCAGAAGAGATCTAAGAGTACATCAAGAGGAGTAAACCTATTAACTCATTCCCCTTTAGGGAGAAGATCCTACAGTAGAGAAACATTTTGGAAATAAATTTGAAGCAGGTGGACAGAGCAGCAGGAGGGCAGTATCAGGCTAATACAGCAGGAGGGCAACACCAGCCACTTAGAAAAAAATGAATTGCATGGGCTGTAGGGGACTGCGTATTAGAATTGCCAAGCTGAATATTTCCTACTGCATATCCTAAATAAATTAAACCTGTCCAGAAATATGGGCAATAATAGCTCCCCACATGATACAAGTAGCAATGGAAATGAAAGTTGGCCATGTGTGTTCCTGTAAAGCCCTGAAACTTCAGGTGGGGTGTCACTTCAGTCCCATTTAAGCCTATTGCTGTGAGCTAGGCCCCTAGACAGATGTAAATGTCCCTGTTGGTATATTTTAATGATACTACTCACATTGTCTATACAGCAGTGAATGTCTTTCACTGTGACAGGCAGCTTCCTCTGCTTTACATTCCTTTTGTAAGCCAGGACTGATGCTGTCTGGTGGTGGAAAACAGGGTGGGCAGGACTGCCTGCAGGAGGTGTATCTGTGGGTGAACTAACAACTGGGAGAACCATGCCAAGTTCCTCCTGCTGTACCTTGAGTCAAGCTGCTCTGCACCAGTAGCAGGCCCCACACCCTGTGACAGGGACCCTGTTTCTCCTTGAACAGCAGATTCAAGTCTGACTCCTGGAGCAGGGTGGGCCCAGTCCCCTCGAACCTTTATATTGCTGGAATAGCCCCTGACTCCCTTGGTCAGCCACGCTGGCTGGTGTATGGCTGCTTGCATTAAAGTGTATTAGTTGGTTCATTTGTCTCTGCCTCGGCTGCTTTACTTCTGGAGCTTTGTGATATTGGCTGGTGCTCCTCAGGCAGCCGTTGTAATGCTGCCTGGATGTTGCCCACCTGCTTGTTTGTCCGTAGATGCCTGATATTTTGCCTGCTGTCACTCTGCCTATATCTTTTCTCTCTTCTGTGGCAGCTGGCCTGGTTGTGGGTTGATTTGTTGCATGCAGCGCTTTTCCTCCCCTGACAGCATACCTTAGGCTACAAATTGCACTCTGAATTTTCTGTTTCATAAGAGTGCAAAGCAAACCCTGTTGAACACAGCTGAAACCTCCTCCTGACTTCAATGGGACACCGAATCATATCCTAGGTCACTGATGCTACAGGATAAGCCAAAGAGTTTAGCTCTGTGCTCAAAATACCACACTTCTGGGAATACTGTCCAATAAATTAATTTTTTCTAGAGAGGTCCCTGCTCTATGGAATATTGAGGTTTCTCAACATTTCTCCTTCTAGACTTCATCTTTTCTTTAAAGTACAATTTGTGAGAACATCTTTCATAATTTCAGTCTGATGAATGTTCCTCCTCAAAGTCTCTTGATCTGCATTTCACTTTGCTGTTTTTCTGATGCAAAGGGTTTCAGGGTTTTATGCTGCTGAAGAAAACATTCTTCCAAGGAAGACATCTTTCCTTTAGTCTCCCATGGGAATGCATCTGTATTTCTGAAAGAGCAAAATTCTCTATTGGACCTTTTGAAAGAATCGCTGGAGTTTCCAGACTCCTCTGGGACTCCTGTCTGTCTCCCCAGTAGTAGATAAAAACTGATTGGTGAGGCACTCAGCATTTTTCACTTTCTTGTCTTTATTTCAGTGTGCTATAGAGAAGCTTGAGTTACTGGGAGAGCCTGCCCCCAACCGCATCCCAGGGTGGGCAAAGGTCAGCTGAAAGTATTGCTTAAATAATCATAGGATTTTATTGTGTGATCTTGCACCACATGTGACTTCATAGTGGCCTTATGAAATTCTTTCTGCTTTAATTAGCAGAATGTCAACATTTGTCTTCTACCCATGGCTTTAGGAGAGGTTTAACACTAAGCTATTAGACATCATCTGAAAACTGACAGGCATTTTAATCAAGAAACATGTTTCTAAAACTTCAGTGTAACAAGTTAGCTGTGAGTAGGTTAGAAGAGGACAGCAACAGAGACATCATGCAGATGTAAGTATTTGTTTTCTATTTCAATAAAGAAAAGAACATATGACCAAGGTTAATCCACCATAACACCAGCCTTGGAGCTGTTGGGAAGTGTCCTGTCAAGGCTCCTTGGGTTAACTCTTTCCTATTCACACAATACCTCATGATACAGGGAGGAATATAACAAAACTATTTTTCTGGTCAATTATGTTTGTATAACTCTTTCCTCTGCTTACAGAAGAAGGCAGATGAAGTTTTCCGTGTTCAGCTCAGGTGCATCTTTTTATCCCAGTAAGTTCAAGTCCTTCCCCTCCTCCTCTCTCTGGAAAGTTCTTCCAACAGTACTTTTTGGGATCTGCCTTCTCTGGCAGTATAGCACCCTGCACAACACCCTTTTTCTTGCACATGAATGCAGGTAAAGCAAACACTCAAAAGCAATACTAACATCTAACAAGTGAATGCAGAGTAATCACAGGAGGAAGTCAGAAATAGGATGCCAGGAAAGGGCCTCAGGGTGTGTTCTGTACCTGGCCAAACAGGCGGGATAATCAGCTTTGTGATGCTGATGCCATGCAGAGATCCCTGCTCATCCCACCCTGCAGCCCCACAGGCTGTGCAGAAAGTGGTAATATTTGCAAAATAGAAGTTACTGCCTTACACTCTCAACTTGAGGACTATGCTTTCCAGCAGTCTCCATTCTCAGACCAACTAGGCAATAAACAGAAGTTGCTTAAATAGGAAAAGACAGATCTCATTTGTAAGTAATTGCAATGTAGTCTGAGACTTTTGGTTCCTGTAAGTAAGAAAATACCTAGAAAATGAACACAAAAGAGAAATAAATTGCTTTAAAAAAAAAAAATCTAAATCAGTTTTCTGTTCTTAAAAGGCAATCATTGACATTTGTCATTAGCCTTCCAGCAAAAAATATGAGCGTGGACTTTTGGCTTCTGCTCCACTATCTGCTTTATTTCTTTTGAGGTACATACCTCAACACCCTGATTTTTAAAGATTTTCAAGGGACTAATAATGATTGTCATTCATGAAGTCTGATTTGCAGTGTCCCAAATTTATAAGTATTCATTTAACAATTATGATGCTAAAATAGATTTGCTTGTTTATTTGTTTCTACTGGGTTATTTACTGTCTAGGTCAGCTTCACACTAGCTCAATAAAGTACTTGCAGGATATATTTACTATTGTTCACTAACTAATAAACAGGCTTGCACTTTTCATACTTACAGGAGATTCTGCAGAGCATGTGATTTCAGTTGTAGGTTAAATGGCTTACATGTCTATTAATATTATATCTTAATTTTTCAGGATTACAGTACTGAGTAAATTGCAGGAAATGGTTTATTCTTCAGTCTATTCCAATCTATCAGAACTGACTTGGTTAGTATGCAGGATTGAGCATGTTATCTTGGGAGCAAAAGGTCAGCTCTGCCAGTTTGGTGAAAGACAGTTGCTGGGAATCACGTGGACGCAAGCTCTATGCCAGTCAAAAGAGCAATTTGGTACACTCTTTGGACTAGACTAACAGGATGAAGATGAAAGAGCTAAAGCATAATTTATCAAGTTGAAATCAACAAGACCAAAAAACTCAGATTAAGTCAGACATTCTTTTTCACAGAGCTCCTAAAATGTAATGGGTAATTGGGGGATAGAAATCCAAAGTCCCTTTCTTCAGCCATAGATTGACTTTGTGACTGGAAAAATATACAAAGTTCAATTCAATTGGATCCAGGTTAAAAGTAATGTTCATGTGCTAATATGGAAATTAAGCTTTCTGAATCTATTCTTATTTTTCTATTAAAAAAATCAAGTCGGTACTATGGGAAAAATAAAGAAATCTAAAGAGGTAAACAGCTTCAAAGGATATTTTTTTAACCAATATGGATAAAACTTGTTTTCTAGGTATTCTTACAATGACATAAGAAAACAGATATGCATGCAATACAGTCACTGAGAAATGAAAAAAAAAAAGAAAATCAAAAGTAGGGCACTGTCTTATACACAATTGATGAAAAATTTACTTGCTTCACCTGACACTTCAGTATTGACTTTATCTAATGTGGAAAACAATCATAACAGAAATAGTAATATACAGTATTGGTAACTGAAAGCAGCACAAATTGAGTGCAAACAATATGAAAAGAGAAAGTCACTAGTCCAGGTAGTCAATAAAGATCACAGTATTCAAGTAACATGCTTGAATCACTGTTATTAATCAGGCTCCCAATTTATAACAGATGATATTGTGCAGTCGGTGATTGATAATCCTTTCGGGCCTAATGCCAGTTCTTCCTTGAACCATGAAGGCACAGTTTGTGTGTGTTTGAGAACTCAGACTGGTGAGTTCCACAGTTCACCAGCTGCCCAAATTACTTTCTACTGGGAAAAAAAAATAATAATTATATATATACACACACTCTTTCTTTTCTCTCTTTCCTCTCTTCTTTTCTGGTATAGAGGTGAACTTGCAATACATTGAACATAAACATAAGAGCTATTAGAAGCAATTGTTCTATAATAAAACATAATGTTTCTAGAGCAAAAACATCTGTCACAGCACAGACATCATCCTGTAAACCCATCTAACTAACTTCATTTTCCCTTCTGATTGTATCAGGATAGCTTGCGGCATGACAGGATTTGAGCGACAGACGTCCAACCTGGAACAGTGCTATGCATATTTATGTTTGTTTACAGAGCCTCATCACTCCTGAAAGATGTAAATTTTAAATGTGCTTTTATTGGGAGAAGGAACTGTGAGGAAAAGGTTGTTACCTTGGAATGCAAAGTCAAAGTTATTGTAAGGCTCTGCCTTTCATAAAAATTTTACCAAGTTTTTAAATTGACTTTTGGTTTCCTAATGAAAAAGAGCATGAATAATTTAAATGTAGTCTGCTTTTTTTTTTTTTTTATTAGAACCATACTATACCAATACAGCAAAAGAGACAACACTCAAGATACAGCTTAACTTAATCCTTCTCTTCCCAGGCTTTGATTACAATCTTCAAAACAGCTATAGAGCCTCTGTATTAAAGGCAGATTTTCCTTATCTTCCTACTAAATTATGGTTAGATTTCTGGAATGCTACCTTAGCAAGTTTAATCAATGAGTCCTCAGAACCATAACAAAAAAATGGCTAATTATTTAAAACTTCTAGAAATAAAGCATCAGATACTTTGCATTATGAGATATTAAAAACCTCTATACAAAATATCTTTCAGTTTTTCCGTTATGCATCTATTGTAACAAATCAATTCCCAATTCTAACATGCCTGTAAAGAAACAGGCAGTTTTGTTTGTGGTATGGGTATGACAATCCTAATTCTTGCACTTTCATTTCAATCCTATTTGACCATATCTTTCGTTTCTTTATAGTGTACAAGATGTAATGGGTCATATATCCTGTATAAACAAAGCTTTCTACCATGAGATCTGCAATGTAGGCGAAATATGTTCCCTCGCCAATAAAACCATGCTCTCTCTTTAATGATACCAATCTGTAAGTTGGCATTTTGCATTATGTGCTTATTTGTCTAGCAGCAAATTGATTTGTTCGACTCAGAAAGAGAATAATGTGCAACCTAATAATCTTGAACTACTGTAGTCTACTACAGAAAGGTTTAGGTGCTTATTTTCCAAAGGCCACACTCTCATTTCAAATCTCTGCTCTTTGACCTGAAATAAAAAAGAGGGGGAAAGAAAGGTAATTTCTACCTGATCACTGTTTCCCTACCCTGGGTCTTCTAATCTCATATCTATCAGGCAATTGGCATGGTCAGCTGACTTTTTTTTTTTTTTTTTAAACTGTATCCGTTTTCTGTAAGCTCATGGCTTTCTGCAGAGGTAGGCTGTAAAGACTACAGAAAGATACACAAAGTGTTCCCAATCTTGGGATGTATCTCTTGGAAGTTTTTTTTTCAAGGTGGGAGTTTTTTTTTCAAGGTGCTTAAATTTCCTAGTGAAACACTAAACTGAATGACAATGATGTTTTTAATCATTACTTTTAAATAGATACATAGTCTTTATATGATGAAACACAATATTTCATTTTAAATATTTGTCTGGGATACAGGAGCAACAAATATTCATAGCTATATCTGACTATACTTTTCTGTGACAACTACTGATGCTGTGATAACTGCTTCTTTTCATAAAAATAAAAAGCTTTTGTCTCAAACAGTTTTTCATTTTGAAGCCTGTGTTACCTTAATTCAGGTACTAAATGACTAGTGTCTGATTTTCCCACAGTAATAATAAAGCAGCCTTTCCCAGGGGCTCACTTCTCCCCAAATCTTACTGATTTGTGGACAGTTCTAGAGCATGGATTTCTGTCATGTCTATTACTTATTTTATTTCTCTTATATTATTGTTACTTTTGTGATACAGCACAACATGTCATGTTGTGAACCCACGAGTTAAAAAAAAGAAAAGACCATCCTTTCCTTAGAAAGTTTAAAATGACTCCATCTGAAGATAGAAACTGTATGAGGTAAAACCATTGTGAGAAATAACAACGTAATAGTGAAACGGTTATGCTTTCCATCAGAGAGGTAGTCCAAAATGTGAAAATGTCATCAAGTATCTTGGGAAAGACATTTTTTTAAATTGCAGCCAGATCTACACTTCAGCGAGCAGAACTAGCAGATGTACTCTGACTCCTTGTGCAGAGAAAAATGAAAGTCTCTTAAATACCTTCTAGTCTGAGGGGGAAACTATGGAACTGCAATTTTGTGATTGAATTAAACTGTTCCATTTCCTAATTTTATTACAAGCTTTGTCAGAGGAATGGCTAAATGTCTGCTTATTAGTCCTCATCTCAATCTTTATCTCAGGAGACTTTTATGATAATGAGTGTTAATTCTATAAAATTAATTGAGAGGTTGTTATTTTCATCTCTAAATGGTGTGTATTTTTGATTGACTGGTCAATGACAAGTATCTTCTCATTTTCCACTATAATAAGGGTATGAAAAGGAAAAGAAGTGGAATAGTTGGCCAATTAAGTTATACAATAATGACAAGGTCAGGCCAAAGAGAGTACATTGTAGTAGTTTACAAATTACTAAGAAATTTGGATTTTTCATGTTCCTGACAGAAGTTGTAATGAAAATAGAAAGTGACACACGAATCCATTAACATGACAGCACAATAAAAGGGAGGAGAAATAATTTTAAGCATACAAGTATACATCACAATAATTTGAATGGGTCAGAGACAAACCCACAAGAGAACTAAGACTCTTTCCAAAATAAGATGATGCACCACAGGAAACATACATTTTTCATTTCCTCCTAAATCCATGTCTTCCTTAGTTTCCTGTATTTCAGGGAAGTTTCTCCTTGCTTTATCTCTTCAATCTGCCCTATCTCTGAGTCATGCAATGATGGTTCAATTCATTGAAATCTTGTGATGTTGGTTCCTTGTGCTCTGATGAATTTGCATTGCTTTGCCAAGAAAAGAACAGCTCTCATCATCAAAAATGTGTGAAGCTGTGCCAGTACAAAATGACTTGTTTATAAATAAGGAACAATGTAGTCATATTGAATCTGTGCGTGCAAACATCCTGCATATTACATCATGATAGTTGAACTGCTTTACCCAATAGTCTTGTGAAACTCATTTGTTGAAAGAAGAAGAGTGGAGCTCCTGTCTCAAAGTTTAGAAAAAATAAAAAGTCTTGGATGAGATTTTTGCTGCTAGCTGCTTCCAGTGTTTCCTATGGCTAAGGTACGGTTGTACATCTTGTAAAACCATGATCATGAATGATTTGTTCTGTTTTACACTTATAAGAAGGAAAAAAATAATCATCTGAACATGTTATAAAATGAGGATATGATCTCTTTGAACATCTGAGGTACTCTAGGTTTTCTAACAGTGTAACAGTGTAAGTATTGTTCATTAATTATCTTGCACAGCACCTGCATAGAAAGTTTATAAGAATGATCTTGTTGTAATGTGTTAAGTCAATGAAGGAAAACAGTGGGCTTTATGCTGACTTTCCCTGTGACCCTTGCTTCAAATGAAGATGATCCCTAAAACACATAGGAAATTTAAGGGATCTTTTAAATTATGCTACGTGAGATCATTCCTTCCAGGCCTGCTGTGCTTTATCAGCACAGTTCACTCTGCGCCTACCTAAAGCCTTTCTTTTTGGCCCACCCTACAATGTTCCCAATGACTGGGAAAAGTGGAAGGTATAGCACCATCTACATCAAAGAAATCTCCAGCTGTCCTGTTAAAATAGCTCTTCATTCTCTTGGCACTGATGGCACAGTACAAAGGATACAGAAAGGGTCAAATTTCAATGCTGTGTAGAAGAATATTCTCACACCAATGCTTAGCTTACACAAGTACAGCAGCTTTTATCTCTGAGGGCCTTAGATGATTTTGAGAGAAAAAAAATAAAAAGACCAAAACAAACTGTTTTAGTTGCAGGTCTTGACTCAATTTGATGCAACTAGGTGCTGCCTGAGGTTAAAGCAGGGCTCTCTTAGAAGTCTGTTCTTGCCAAGGAATTTGTATGGTCTTCCAGACAGCACAGTCACTGCTCCAACAACCACTTTTTACCTGAATACTTCAGACTGGTACAACCAATTTACCCACAACATTGCTCCCTTTCGATGCCTTGTGTAAATGCCAGCCACCTGAGTGGTGAATTAACCTTGCAGCTACTGTTGCAGTGTTTTAAAATAATGGGATGCACGTCTTTCTGCAAGTTGAATTTGTTATACACCCCATAGAAGCTGACACATTAGGGTGTCAGGTTTCAGACTGTTCAGTTATCTCCTGCTCTTGTGATAGGAAATTTTGGGGGATTTTGATACCTTGTCTTTTAGTGTCTCACTCTCACTCTTTATTGCCTTGTGGAAATAGAGAAGAAACTTTCCATCTTACATGTATGTCTCTGAGCAGATCACAGCAGATCTCTGAGAGGCTCCCTCAAGACAGCTTATTAGAGTTCTCTGGCAAAAGAAGAATAAATTATTATTATATTTTTTTTACCTGTTTTAATATTAAAAAGGCAATATATCTATTTATGTATCATCAGCAAAAATTATCTTCAGACAGATTTTGCACGTGTTTCCACTGAACTCACTTGGTATCCCCAAAAGAGTATTTGATAATCTGTTTTTTTAATATATGCTATTTTCTCTAAGGAAAGGATATTAATGTGCTGTCTTTGTCTCTCATTATGAATTTGAGGATCTATGATTTCAGGGTAAAGATCATCAAGCATCAGCAGAGTTTACAGCCTCAATAAATCTAATTCTTTCACCTAGGAAATTTCTGGAAAGTTTTCAAAAATACGTGGTAAACTCTGATCTCCAGATTACAGAATAGTTGAGGTGGGCAGGGACCTCTGGAGATCATCCTGTGCAACCTCCCACTAAAAGGAGGCCAGCTAGAGCAGGTTTCTCAGCATCATGGACAATTGGACTTTGAATATCTCCAACAATGGATTTTCATCACTCTTTCTGGACAAACTGTTCCAGCATTTTATCACTCACATACTAAAAATTACATTTTATGCCCATGGTCTCATCCTGTCACAAGGCACCACTGAGAAGAGTCTGGCTCAGGAGGATGGGGGGAAATATCCATACACATGGATAAGAGCCCCCTGTGCCAACTCTTCTTCAGTCTGAACATTACCAGCTCTTTCAACCTCTCCTCATACAGCAGATGCCCCAGTCCATCAATCATCTTTATGGCCATTTGCTGATATTTATTAAAGTGAGAGATAGATGTGTTAGCAAATTAGAGACCAGTTACAACCACGTCCCAGGCAAACTTATGCCTTTCTCTGGGGAGAATGGGACATCCCTGGAGCCTTCTGAGGTTG